CTGCATGGGCTACAGACTGGCAGCGTGGGGGTGGGGGGGTGTCACCCAGAAGGTAGGGAGCTCATCTCTAGAGTTTTCAGCCGTTGGCGAGAATGATCACAGCAGTTTGCCAGTTCAAAAAAGAGAAAACAGCCGCGCGCCCCGGCCAGCTCCGTAACGCCGGCCCAAACTACCCCTACGATTCCTGGCCAGCTCCGAGGGAAAGTCGCCGTGCTGCCACGACGATGCCCGCCTCATCTGTAGCCCGGGTGCTGGAGGTGAAGCCCGCAGCTCTCGGCGGGCTCGCGCCCTCGGTTCACGGATGTGCGGGCCGCTTTGCTCAGCGGGGCCCCGCCCGGCTCGCGCAGGCAGGACCGGTGGAAGTCCGGGTACTCCATCGTCGGGATCACGCCGCCCGGGCCGGAGGGCCCTGCCCCGCCTCGGCAGTGGGGGGCCGCCGTGCACTCCAGGGCAGCCGCCCCCATGGCCTGCAGTCCCCCTACTCCTCCTCCTCCTCCTCCGCCACCCGCGTGGAAGGGCAAGGCCAGGTCCTGGGAGCCTGAGCTGTCACTGTTGGGTGTGGGCAGAATGTTATTCCACAGGGGAGGCTGGAAGTAGTGCCCGTTGGTGAAGGGCACCGGGCCGGGCAGGCCGTTGATGGGGGGCGAGGGGGTGGGCTTCTCCAGGGCGGCCTTCGCTCCGTACGGCTGGCCCATGCACAGCTCCAGGGCGTAGCCGGGCCCTTTGCCCTGCCCGGGCAGCTCTCGGCCGAGGGGTTTCCCCAGGGGCGCCGAGGGGCCGATGGCCTCGCCGCACATCTGCTGCAGGTGAGCCAGCTGGTGCTGGTTCCAGGCTGCCACTTGCTTCATTTCGCTTTGGTAGGCGGGAGGGCCGCGCGCCAGAGGCATCCCCATGGCGGCAGCGGGCGGGACCGTCGCGGCATGGTCGCCCGGGTTCCCCATGCCGCAGGAAGGCAGCGGGGTGGGGACGTTGTGCGCGGACACCCGGCTGCTGGCACTGATCAGGAGGTTGCGGCTGATGGGGCTGGGGTTGGCGATCTGTCCCTCGCAGACTGAGGTAGCGCTGGTGCCCGTGCGCGCCTGGCAGAACTGGCTGATCTGGTGCACGATGCTGCTCAGATCCGGCGGCTGGCTCTGCTGCAGCGTGGCAGCCATGGAGAGCGGGATGGTTGAGGTAGAGACGGTCACATTCGGAGGGGCGTCGGCGTCGGCCATCTTCCTGCCCAGGTGCATGCCCGTCAGGGGCGGCGGCGGTGGCTGCTGCGGCGGCAAGTGGTTGGTGGGGTGCTGCTGCTGCTGCGGCGGCAGAGGCTGCAGCTGCTGCAGGCCAGGGTGGGCCACGTTCTGCGGCGGCTGCAGGCCGGGGGGCACCCCCTGAGAGTGGAGGTGCTGCAGGGCCTGCTGGCGGGCCAGCGCCTGGGGGTGGGTTAAAGTGCTAGGTGCCGCGTAGGGGACCGAGGGGGGGTTCATCATGGCTTCTGGCAGCAGGCGGCTCCGCTTCCCGTCAAAGTCCTTGACGACCCCCTTGGCCGGGGACCGGACGATGGCCAGGAGGCCTGTTCTCACGGAAGCCTGAGACGGCGGGTAAGGGCTGTACCTCTGCCCAGAAGTGTCCAGCCCGTTGACAGTGCGGCGCAGGTGTTTCCGCTGAGGGACCTTGATGCTGTTGGGGAAAATTTTGATGGTCAGAGGGTGGTTGGCTACCTTCTTAGCATACGCGTCCAACTCTGCTGGAGTAGGGTGCTGTGCGGCTCTCATTTTCTGTGGAGTGTCCCCTGGTTGGGGAAGGGGGGGGGGGGGAGGGAGAGAAAGTCAGAGAGACAGAGAGAGCGTGGAGAAAAAGGGAGAGAAAGGAGAGAGAGAGAGAGAGAGAGAGAGAGAAAG